ACTGCCAAACATCCCACAGCTGAGGCATCGCGGAGCACAGTGAGACGGGGCTGCTGCTGCTGCTGCTGCTGCTGGGCAGGGGGGGAGGCTCCGTGACACAGTGGCACACAAAACACTGCTGCACTTATCACAATAACACAGCAGCCATCATGTGAGGAGGCAGCGCCTGGCTCTCGTGGACCGTCTTGATGACCACGTGAAAAATAATATCAATTACGATATGTATGAATTACAGCTGGTTTGATGCTTTTGGCCTCTGCAATGTGGAGAAAATTAGCGCCGGTGCCTAAGCACATGCATCATTGACACCATACGTATCAATAATGCATTGACCTCTGCTGTCGCTTCACCGCTATTTTTAAAGGGAGGGGTGACAGAAAAGAAATTAAGCTGCGTGGAGCTCACTTAGAGCTTGTAGTGCTGAGGTTAACATGTGTGCGGTCTCGCCCTTGGGGACCGACTGCAATATGGCCGCAGTTTTTCTAACACTGCTGGCCACAGCAAGCGGAAGATTGAACCTGGAATGCCCTCGTATCTGTGATTACACAAACCTCACCCAGCATAAGCGAGCAGCCCCAAATAGTTTCATGTGCATCATTACGATTATGACTAAAAGTCGCATCACCGTCAAGGCGATTAACCACAAATACAGCCCCTGAAAATGCACATTAAAAATCACTTAAGCTTTGCCAACAGGTGTTATTCTCTTACATCGCCAAGCCAGGGCAAAACAATAACAATAAGTGGCACAATCCAAAATATTAACCTTGATTAGCTGGCTAAAGATGTGAGGTAAACAAAAGCTGCCACTAGGTTTGACCCCTGACCCCCGGCTTGTGGTGGCAGATTGACAGAGCTAAAAGAGACTTGGGATGTTCTTTTTGAAAGCGGAGGTTGGCCTGATTGAACTGACTTTTCATCAGTTGGGTTTATCCCAATATGCAGAGAAAGAGAGCGAGGAGGGAGGGAGCTGCTTAAGCAAGAAAGAAAAAAAATCCAGTTTTTACTTTAAGTGTCAGTGAGAGGATCATAAAAGTAGCCTGAAGCAGAGGGAGACAGACAGAGCTGGTTTAAACTGGGGATTTAAAATGGAGGTCTGACCGCCCCTCCTCCCTCTTCCCCTCCTTATACAACCGAACGAGCGTAAGCCCACCTGAACACGCACGCATGCATGCACGCGCGCACACACACACACACACACACACACACTGAGCAGAACTGCATCAACAATGGTGTAACATCTTTTGCCATAAACAGCGTAGCGCTTCAAATGTCCTGATTTCTTTGCCTTATACAACAGTACAACAGGCATTTTATAATCCAGAGCTGCACATGCAATAAAACACCCAAACACACACACACACACACACACACACATTCTGGTGTTTTTCACCTATTCCCTGAATGGGTGAATGAGCGGGTCCCTTCCTGCACAGTAAACACAGCATTTCCATTAGATTGTTAGGAGTGTGTTCAGTGCTCTGTGACTCAGACACTGCAGCACTGTGACTGTGTGTCTCCAGCTCAACTGCTGCTCTCTCTAACACCAAGCCTCAATAACATGGCCTCTGGTTTGTGCCACTTCACAGGAGCTATAGGGGCTACACAATGCTTTCCAAAGTGATGGAGCTACTACAGGCGACAGGCAGGGCATGCAGTATCTGAGGAATTAGGGGTAAATAGCTTTTTTAACAGTCCTTGCTTTCAGCCAATGATGTACACAAAACTGACACACACTGCACTCTTACCCACAAGCGTGCCCACATGATAATTTCTCTCTTATTTGCACACACAGAGGCAGATGAATATGTAAATAACTTGTGAGGGGAATATGGATCCCTTGTGCTGGGAAAGGAATATGTTAATGACTGATGCAGGGTATGAGTGTTAATCACAAGTGTAGGGTGCATAAATGTGTTTAGCAACAATGTGGGGCCAATGCAAATTAAACACATAGAGGGCAGTGGCATGTAAAACGCATGATTCACTGACAGAAAGTCGGTGGTGTGAGAAAAATTGTTTCTGGTGTAAACAAATCAAATACAGTAACGAGGAGCAGTACTGGGGGGAGAATCACCTGGCGAAAAGCTGGCAAGCATGGATGAGTTCTATACTGTCCTCTCTCGTCTGTTTAGCATTTAAAATCCAAATCAAGACAGTGTGATAAGCGCTGTCGCAGCGGCAACAGTTGCCAGGGAAACCTGATGGCAGGATGCTGAGGGTTTGGGGGGCGGGGGGAGAAGGGGAGGGGGGGAGTTTTATGTGAGGACATGGGTACAATGCTCAGGTTGATTTGCTACCACTGAACGAACACTGGCCGGCTCGTTGAGATATGGCACCTCAAAGGAACGTGACTGACAAGGGGCAACGGGGCGCCGATGGTGACGCTGGCTTGGCGCATTAGTCTGAGTGTGTAGTCATGACAACGAGCTGTTGACATAGTGCAATCTGAGCACTGTGATGCTGATGACATTCACGAAAGTACAGAGCGAGCGTGAGTGAGCTTGTAAACCAGAGCAGGGCCTTTCCTGTCCCCCTGTGCAGAAAAAAAAAGGACCCAGTGCTGACCATTTCACATTCGCTATGTCTCATCTCAAGAAGAGCCAAAGGGATACAAACAGTGATACTACAGTTAAAGTTGATTATAACATAAAGAAACAAAAAAAATAAAAATAAAAAATAAAAATAAAAATTGCCACCAAATTTCACAGACTTGAACTGCCATTTTATGTGCCAGGTTTTTTTTAATTTTCAAAGTGACCTCTGCTAACAGAACATCTCTCATAATTATAACCAGTGTAATTAGCTAATTATAATAACAATAACAATATTACAATAAAGATAACACTTGATTTAAAAAAACAAAAAATAATCAAACTAGATAAAAACCCAAAATGAAAAACACTTATCATAATAGTTTTGTTTTTTTTAAAAGAGATCTATAAGGTTCTATATTTTTTCATTTAATAGTCCTTTTTCTTTAGAAAAAATTCACCCACCACTGTATACTGTACTGTATGCCACCTTCTTCTTCACTGAACGAGCATCGCTTACCTTTAAAAATGCTTGGCAATGCCTGTCGTCCATTTAGCTCCCTGCTGCCATGAAATCCACTCACACACGATAACACTGAGATACAGTTGTGAAATAATCCTCTGCAAAGGTGCAGTCTCCGTCAAAGGTTCATGTCCAGTCTTTAATGCGTGATAATATGAGGGTTCCTGACTGCTTGAGACATCAGAGCAGAGGAGTCAGTGAGGGCTGGACTGAGGAAGCCATTTTGAGGGCCAGGTTATTTCCTGCTGATGAATGTAGAGTTTGCTTAGTGGCACGCTGAGTCCGTCCCACTGCTGTTCATTAGCTGACAGGATCAGTCACAAACAACTTCAGTGTCATATACAAATGAAAAAAGTACTTCCCAGTTATTTGTAGGCACAGGTAGTAATAATAATAGTCATATGAATGATAATAATGATAACACAATAACAATAATATGTCATATCATTGTGATAGATCTTAAATTATACGTTGAAACCCAATGTTGGTGCAAATCTAGAGGGGTTTTCAGAGTGCATGCTAAATTAGCATGTGCAACATTTTAGTAGTATTTATAATAAAATGTATTGTTGATCATTTAATGTGATAATTATTGAATGACCATTATGACAACTAAAGCTAAAGCTTATTATCATTATTACCATTATGATCATTATTATTAACACTGTAGCTGTACTGTATACCAAACGTGAAGAGCTGTGTCGTATTTTCACTGTGGAGCATAAAGATCTCGCTTCTCCGGTGACCCTGTTTATGTGAATGCGACAGGAGAGGGGTAAAACACTTTTTGTGGCTACAAAAAAGTCCAGACCAAAATAAATTCACTCAAACACTTTGCCAAGTTTTTGTTTTAGCTCCTTTTCAATGGACGCCGCTCCCCCACGTGTCCTTATGCAGCACAGTCGGAGTGGCCATTTTGTTCCATGTTGAGAAAAGTCGCAAAAGGATGGGCCACTCAAACAACTGTGTGAGTGTGTGTGGGGTTTTTTTTTGTTTTTTTTTTTTATATATTCTTCAGAAGTTGTAGTTTTCAGTCAGAAGCTTGATAAAGATTCTTTATAATTTATTTCTTTGAATGAAAATATATTTACGGTATATATAATATGTACGTTCAGTCCGTTTTAATATCTCTCTTTGTCCTTTATGCCGCAGGAGTTTTTCTTCTCCCATGATCACCCACTCTGTTTCTTTCCTCCTCCTCCAAAGAAGACAGTAGCCAGTAAAGTGTGAAAGGGAAAAAAGGTGAGAAAGTGAGAGTGAAACCACTCTGAAAAAAAACAATTGTTGTTGTTCTGTCTCCCTGCTAAGAACTAGTCTGATACTTGTGTTCTGGACAGTATCGCTGCACTGCTCTAATTTTGCTCTCTCTGTGTTTTAGTGCTTCCTGGAAACCTGGGATCATTCCGCTCTCCCAAATCATTGTTTGTTATTCTGCGCCTCTGCCAAACACGAATCTGACAACATGTCCAATGGCCAATATTATGTCTCCCTCCAAATATATACACTGAATGTGTCTGGAAATATATGAAGCAATCTGTATTAAACCTAGAGAGGCCTGTTGCACATTGTTCATAACTGTCCACTGTGTAAAAGAGTTGAAAGAGTTTGGACTTTGGCAAAGACTATAGCAGGTTCCACACATTAATGATTAATTTTGATGTTTGTGTCTGATTTAGTTTAAAAGTATGTGAAGATGCTATTGGTGGGACGAGCGTTGATCAGATACCGTACTGTCTACTTCACTCTTCCTATCTGCTTCTCTCTGTCAACAGATTGACAACACAAAGCAGCGACAATGTGAAACTTCATCTTTTCTGAAATCTGTCCATGAGGACAGTTAGCTACAATCAGTCTCATATACTTGGCTTCACAGGTGCTTTCTGTATCACTGTCTCAATCCAGCATCCCTTCGTCTTACCTCATACTTCTACCCTCACTTTTACTCAGATTTGAGTCTCTTGCACATTTTCCTTTGAGCCGCTCTTAAAAAGTAGTGGCTCATTCTGGCCTTTCCCCATTAGGCCTTTCAGAGAACTGTGGAGACCCAACTGGGGCAAGGGCACAGGGGAGGGTAAGGTGCCACCCGTGGGTGTTCCCCCACCGGTGGAGGTCGGAACCTGGGAACAGGATATGTTTTGTGACTGAGAACATGGCGAAGGGTTGTTGTTGTTGTTGAGGCCCACGCCGGGGCCTGTGCCCATGCCCAGGCCCATCATGTTGTTGTTGAAGTGATGGGTTTTGTAGTAGTGGTTGAGGTGCTCCGATCGGGCCAGGTTGGGAAGGTTGACTATCTCTGGGTGATGTAGCCTGAGGCTCTGGCCCCCTCCTATTCCACTGCTTCCACTCTGCGTCACGGTGGAGCCTCCTGAGATGCCGCTGCCCCGACCGCTGGCTCCGGCACCTAGCTCGTCTTCTACGTTGATGATTTCGATGGCTCGAGCGGGGCCATGGTGTTTGTGCAGCTGGTGCTGCTTCCTCAGCTTGTAGAATACCACCAGCATCACCGCTGCCATGAAGGTAATGGCTACGAAGCAGCCAATGATGATCTTGGTGGTCTTCATCACATCGTCCAGGCCCGAGAAGCCTGGCACAGTGATTGGCACAGTGAAGGTGGGTCGAGTGGTTTGGGGAGAGGAGGAGGACCAGCCGGCAGACAGAGAGGAGTCTGTAGTCGGAACACCGTCCGGCCACAGGTCGGAGGGTGTTGGGCCAGGGCGAACATGGATGAAGGTCTCATTGATGGCAACCAATGCATAATCGTTACCTCCTCCAGTTTCCACCGTTTCCACAGTAACTGTAGTAAAGTAGGTGTAGTTGACACTGGCATCAGCAGCAGTAACGTTGAGGACAGCAGTTGCCGTGGTATTGCCAGCAGCATTGGTGACCATGCAGGTGTACTGGCCCGTGTCTCGCAGGGTGACATTTGTGAAGTTGAGTGTGCCATCATGCAGGACGGATATCCTCACCCGGTAAGAGCCGTGGGTCATTAGAGTGCCATTAGGGGTGATCCAGTTGACAGATGTTGTGGACGTGCTTGTGCGACACTTCAGCTCAGCAGCCATGCCCTCTGTGACATTGAGGTCTGTAGGTGGCTCCACAATGACAGGTGCGTAGCAGGTGAAGTGACTCTGGTCAAGCTCTCCAATGTATTTGCCCTTTAGGAATGGAGGAGCGTGGCAGCGGGCACAGCAGGTGGTGTTGCTGGGCACCGTCTCCTTCAACCACCAACTAAGCCAAAGCACATCACAGTTGCAGACCCAGGGATTGTGGTTGAGGTGTACCCTCTCCAGCTGGTGAAGGGGCGTGAAGAGGTCATGGGGCAAGGAGTGCAGGGAATTATGGGACAGATTGAGCTCTTCCAGGTTTTTCAGGTCATCAAAGGCGTTGCGCTCGATGACAGACACCTGTGAGTGCATTAGCCACAGCTTGCGAAGAGACACCAGGCCCTGGAAGGAGCCGGGACGGATAATCTCCAACCGGTTTCCTGACAGCTCCAGCTCCTCCAAACGCACAAGAGCCGTCAGTTTGGGAATGTCTTTGAGCCCGCACATGCCCAGGTTCAGGTACCGCAGATTGATGAGGCCCACAAAGGCTGCATCAGAGATGAAATCCAACTTCTTGAGCTCACCCAGGTCCAGGCGCCGTAGCGAGGGCACACGGTGGAAGGCATAGCCTGGCAGAGTCTCAATAGGGTTGTTGCGCAGCCACAGCTCCCGCAGCTTGCTGAGGTACTCGAAGGCATGTGATGGCACCAGTGTGAGGCGGTTGTCGAAGAGCTCCAGTGTGTTGAGGTTGGGGAGGCCATTGAATGCTCCGACTTCAATCTGACGTATCTGATTCTTGGAGAGTTGGAGGATTTCAAGGTGCCTCAAATGCTTGAAAGTGTCTGACTTGATGACCTGGATGAGGGGGAAAAAAAGTGTAATTTACTGTACAGCAAGTAGGATGATGACAGACTAAGAGTTGTCTGGATATTTGACAATGGAATGTTTTGAATATATATCACTAGTGTTTTATAAAAAAAACAAAAAAACTCAAGGCATAAAATATGAATTTGTCTGTCATGCATTTTTACTTATCACACAGCTTCTATAAAAGCACAATATTTATTTGCATTGATTTTTGATGTCATATAACACACTGAGTGGCATACAACCTTCACAGACATGCAGTTGTAATACTGACATATCATTTTCAGAATGCAGGGATGATATGGTTTGCAATACATTATGAATCAATGTAAATAAGCAACAGAACACTGTCAATGAATGATTCAAAGGCACAAATATGGCTACAAGTAAATATAAATAATTCATTTTTCTGCTCATTATGGTAACAGCTGACCCTTCCACTCCACTGACTATTGCTGCTGTCTGCTTTTCAGACAGACTCTCCCTGACAGCTAAGGGTCACCCTGGCCTTCATGTTGGACTTTCTATGTTGCTGATGAAACAATGTGCATTGCGTGATGGACAGAGAGTTACAGTGACTGTGCTGATCCACGATTAGAGATTTTAAAAAGTGTTGGTACAGTAAAGCCCAGATCAATAACCCTGACCCGCACAGAAGCACAGGTATCTTGTTTTGAAGATTGCTCTCACATCTAGTTTTATCACTAAAAATACTTGGTGACCAAAATAAAGTCGTGAGAATGTGATCCTCAGCCTGCTGAATGACCACAGTATAAAAATGGTCACACTTAATTTGTAGGTAAATGCTTATTATCAACATATTATCACATTCCAGAAAGAACGTGTTACACCTGACCTTTTCTCTCAGCACTATGGTAAACCAAACCCAGTCTCATGCCTAAACCTGACCTTGTTTCAGACACTGAAGTTGTTTTCACGCCGTTTTTTCCGCGGGGGCTTCCTACTGACACGTTATAATCCCTCGCTAATAAGCTGATAATCAGTGTTGGACAATTCACATGAAGTGTCACCACAGAAGAAAAACTATGAAACTAAATTAATACATTTTTAAACATTCTGTCTTTTCTTTTCACATATGAGCAAGCAAAAGAAAGGTTTTTTTTTTCTTGAAGAACATGGGTGCCACGGGCCCTGGACGGCACACTAGCATTGGTGTGGTCCAACTGGAGCTCATTTGGCGAGAAGTCAAAGACACACAGCTCGCGAGCGCGACTAAAAGCCCCTTAAATCTCTGACTGTTTGAGATATGTGTGGCCAAAGCCCTCTGTGAGACACACAGAGACTCCTGGAGTCAGGCCATTGCCTCTTCTGTATGTAGAGCAGGAGCAGGGGGAGAGAGAGGGGGGAGTTGATAGGCAAAGAGGGGGGAGACAGAGAGAGAGAGAGAGAGAGAGGAAAGAGGGAGGGGTGAGGATGTTAAGAGGGGGTGGGAGCTGTCAAGGCTTTACTCTCAGGGTACTCAGTGGAGGAAAAAATAAGCCAGAGAATCTAGGATGCCTTCAGGTGTTAAAACATTTTTAGATTTTTAATCATTTCAAGTGGGGCTGCAGGATACAACAAACCGAATCGGAATTTGTAGGCTAAAAACGAAACGCAACAAATACTGTTATTATTTCTTTTTTTTTTTTCTATCTTCCATGTTAACAGCATCTCTTTAAAACCTCACATAGCAAATCAGGAGGCGTGATGTCCCATTTATGCTCTGTTAACATCACATAATGTTTAATAGGATGTTTTCTCCGAGGAATAGATGATATCAGGCTGCTCTGTCCAATGTACGGAGCGGTTTGACATTATAAGTGATGCCCTGGACAATTTTAACAATGTTTAGGATATTCCTTGTTTTTCATTAGTCGAGATAAAAATGTAGTGGAAATGAATTTAAAACCACAACAGAACAAAGCACTGTCAGCAACATGAGGATGCATCCAATTACGTCAAACGCTGCTGCAAAGAGTAAAATCAACCCACTCTGCTTATAAATGTAGAGGTTGGTGTGCTTTGTATCGATGGTCTGTGGTTAAATGATCTTTCCATGCAGCTGTAAAGCCACAAACGCTGTCTAGGGACTCTAGATAAATTGGTAATGCATACAAAAGGCAATACGGTGTCATAGAAATACGCCTGGCTTTCAATTCATAAAATATTCCCTCAGTTCAGAAGAGGCTCAAGTGTCTTTTTCTGTCATTACAACCACGTTTTTTTCTTGTCTTTTCTTAGAAATAGAGTTTCTGTGAGAAAACCTGTATCAACAAGTTAATCCGAACATCTGCAACTGTCTGCAAAGGAAAATATTCTCTCTGATCACAGGCAAAAAAGTGCAAGTTTTAAAGGCACATAAATATGCTAAAGTCAGTGAGTGAATTGATTTCCTACAGTATGTGTGCATGAACAGAAAATCCTCAGTCTGCTGCGCAAGATGCGTCTTTTATCAATAACTCTATGAACAACTACAAAAGAAGAAATCCATAATTTTATTAAGATGTGTCAATAGGCTATGCGCTGGAAAGAAACCTTGAAAAGTACAGATGGCGACATGTTTAAAATGACAGAATGTGTGTTTTCTTGTTGTGATTTATCCTGTGCAGCGATTGTAAATGAAAACGAGAGTGAACCATGACCCCCAGTCGATCATCATTACGTGAAAAACAACCAGCAGTTGAAAGAAATCAATAATTTTTTCAGACAACCGTTAAATTACATAACCCATCATGATGCAACCTACAGAAAGAAATAGTATGAATGTGTTTCGTTTTAGCTCCTGAAAGATGGATTTAGTTGTCATCGAGACATTTATATAACCTCTATGTGTGTGTGTGCCATATTTGTATACAAAACATTTTGTCGTGTATGTCCTGTATGAAATGCACACTTCAAATCCACACTGACATGACAGGATCTGACCTGACAAGCGGCTTCCTCCAGCTAATATTTACCTGTATCGAGTTCTCCTGCAGGTTGAGGTATCGTGTGTTGACGGATATGCTTTCGGGCACCTCCTCCAGGTTTTGCCTGGTGCAGATGACTCGGCTGGCCTGGTTGGAGCAGGTGCACAGGGAGGGGCAGGAGGAGGCGGCTCCCACTAACTCCGGCCCAGGGAGGAGGAGCCGCAGTAGCAGCTGGGCCAATAGAAAGAGGAAGGGGGAAGGGCCGGGAAGGCAGGTCAGCGTGGCGATGCGCATGGCAACTGGGACATGACCCTGCTCTTTAATCCGAAGGTACAGGTGAGGTGACTCCACACTGGTGGATCTGTGAGAAAAGGTTTACTTTCCCTTTGGTCCTCCAGTGGCAATTTGTACTTTCTAATTCCACATCCTCTGAGATGTTTTGTGTCCTCTGTCGATCTCTGTGTTTTTTCCTCTTGTTTTTTGAACATAGAAATATGCAGATAAACAGATGTTATTCCCTTTTTTTTTTTACTTGCGTTGTCTGGGGATTTGACTGAGGCTTTTTGTGAAGTGAGAAGAACCCAGGAGTTACTGTGAAGAACAAAAGAGAGAGAGACAAAGAGAGGGAGAGAGAGCAGATATTAAAGGCAGAACACACACTGCACTTCATGTTTTCACCAACAGACACTGGAACAGAGCAAATAATAGGTAGACATCTACAGTATAGCTTATCATGGGAGGGATTGTCAAAAAAATCTTTCAGAAGCATTAGAACTTCTATGACACTGCTCATATCAAATCCCACATAATCCCTAAGCAGACATTTTGTCAGAAATCAAATCCTCACACCCAGGGCAGGTGGAAGCCGATTTCTGTAATTAATGGTTCAAGGTGGAACAGTAGAAATACGAAAACATGAAATCTAAAAGAGGGCAATAAGGTGTTTTTGTGCAAATATGTCAATCAATCAGAAAAATCAATGTATAAATTCTTTTTGAAGCACTGGTGTAAACAGATAAGCAACATCGCATATCGTCAAAATGAACCAAGAAATTGTGTATTTTTTGTAGATCAACAAGGCAAGTACAGATAATTTTCTACTATGGGTTTCCTATGCATATTTTCAATAGAAGTTTTTGCAATTTTTAAAAAACAGATCACCTATTATTTGGTCAGTAAACCAAACACAGAAAAGAGATTTTGCACATTTGTATTCAGATTCATGTCTAGGAGAATCAGATGTGTACTGACATGAAAAGGGCTATTAGATAATTCTGTATGTTCACTGAATGGTGACGTTTGGGTGACTGATACGTAACTATTCTAAAGTGCTGGGACATGAGTTTTAATGCAATATAGTGTCAGAAAATGATGCAAAATCAATCAGAAATGACCTGAAGCCAGTTTGATACCATCAACATGGTCATTTTGTCAAATTTAGAGTCAAATTTACAACCTAAAAATAAAAGTATGTTTAAAAATAGAACTTTCTGTTTAATCAGTTTTTTTGAAATATCTAAAAACAAGAGGACTCATGTAGCGTGATGATTATTGCACAACTTTCAAAATGATTTGCGCATTGCCTTCGAAAGGCAAAGGCACCACTCATATAACTGTCCCCCATTAAAAAAAGAAAAGAAAAGAAAAGAGAGACTCAACAGGTCAAAGTCTATGGAAATAGGACAAACAGTTAAAAAAATGTGACTTTTTTCCCTTTACAAAATTAGTCAGTGTTTCATTCATCCATACCCCTTCCTTTATAATAATAAAGTCCATTTGTTTAGCATTTATCGAAACCAGTGCTCAGGAAAAACACATTATACACACAATAAAATACACAGTCGAAAGAAGAATATCAATTGAAATCATAAAATATTAAATATAATAACAAGGGTTGAATTAAAACTTAAAATAGAGCAATGAAAGACACAGATGGATTGGTGACAATAATAAAAATGTATATATGAAGAGTTCATTTGCAAAAACACGTAACTCCATTTTTGTAGATTTTAAGAAAACTTATTTTTTTGTTGTTTGCTTGAGATAATATCAATCAAACTGAAGTTAAGTGGATTTGACTCAGTAGAAATGACATGATGAAAACAGAGATAACTAAATTTTGATTGATGTTGTCTCAGGTAGACGATGGAACAGTGGGTTATCTGAAGGTTTGTGAAGATGGAGTTGTCTGTTTTTGCAAATGAACTCTTTATATTTAAGTAATTATCCATCCATCCATTATCTATACACCACTTAATCCTCACTAGGGTCGCGGGGGGCTGGAGTCTATCCCAGCTGACTTAGGGTGAAGGCAGGCGACACCCTGGACAGGTCACCAGTCTATCACAGGGCTACACTTAGAGACAGACAACCAAGCACACTCACATTCACACCTACGGACAATTTAGAATCACCAATTAACCTCAACATGTTTTTGGACTGTGGGAGGAAGCCGGGAACCCGGAGAGAACCCACGCTGCACGGGGAGAACATGCAAACTCCACGCAGAAAGATCCCAGGTGTCCTCACTTGGACATGAACCGGCGACCTTCTTGCTGTGAGGCAACAGTGCTAACCACCGCTCCACCTTGCAGCCCCTTAAATAATTAGATATATTATCATTAAATAAATAATTTAACTGCCCTCATATATATGTTATATAAGAAAGCCTTCTGATACAAATAAGCCTTCAGCAGTGGCCTTTAAGAAGATACTGGAGTAGCCAGCTGGAGTTCCTATTAACTTTAACTGCATGTTTATTATGTGACAGTGAAGGCCTTCAAACTGTAATCTAAGTTAAAGTAAGTTCTTTTTGTGCCTTTTGTGCAGAAAATATACCTCATCTGGATCATATTTAGAGGGTAGGGACCATAGACTGAATATATAGATGGACAAACTCTCTGTTTCTTGAACAGCAGTTTTGAAGCTCAGCGTGGTAGCGTTGGCTGTCGTTATCTTGTCAAAGCCTGATTCCTCCTAACTCCTGACTAATCCAAAATAGGTGCAGCGGGAGTGAAGCTGAGGCAGGTCATGAGCCATGGACTGTCCTTTGATGGCCCCTACCTGCCCCCTGCCCTTAATTATCCATAACTTTAAGCCTTAGTACAATTTAAACTTGTAGGTTTCATAAAAATTCAGCTGTTGTCATGAATGAAAATAGTAGCTATAGAACTGTTTTTTTATACCAGATTGTACACATGTTTAGTTCTACTGTAAAACTGAAGGAACTGCCATTTTTGAGCCCTTGATGCTGTCAGGGACCAACAACCTCTATGGCTGCTTAGGTTGGATGATTTACACTGCAATCAATATGAAAATATTGCATTTTAAATGTCATGGCTTTGAAATTGTAATCTAATAGTGCAATAATGTCATTTTTAATTTGTAGAAGCAATGTGAAGAAGTAGTACCACACTGTTTTGCATGTTCTTCCTTGACCTGGGGGGGGGTTCCTCCTGCACAGTGCAAAGACATTTATGGTAGGTTAATTGGTGATTGTGGGTGTAAGCGTGCACGGCTATCTGTCTCTTTGTGTTAGCCCTGTGATGAAATGGCGACCTGTCCAGATTTGTACCCCGCCTCCCTCTCAATGTCACCTGGGAGAGGCTGCAGCCCCCAGCGACCCTCCACAGGGATGGATGGATGGAAATGTAAAACACACGCTGCACAGTACTACTTTCTGCATCAATCAAAAATATTTACACAGTGTGAAATCTGCTTTTCTATCTGAGCAAAAGAAGCAAAGAGAACAGAAAATCTTTGCAACACCAGCTGGATAAAAAAAACACAAAATGTAAAATCAACACCCCCTCGGTTAAAAAAATTAAGATCCGCTCTGTAACAGGAAGCAGCAGGGTTTTGGGGGACATTTGGTCGTAATTCGGAGAACCATTAATAACACCACTAGTGTGAGATAGAGGCTTCCAGTCATCTCTGCCAAGGTCTCATTTGTTAACACTAATTATACCCAGGTATAACAATTAATACGATATATTGATGTTTGCACATGCCACACTCACCACCTTTAATTAAACTCATAGTTATCAAAGAAGGCCCAAACCTTGAAAACAAAAAAAAAAAAAGTAGCCGATTCTAGTAAGCAGCGCCACTGTTTGCAGTAAGACACAGAGGTGGGACTGAAATGCTAATTCCATTCCTGTACCAGCGTAGCATTGTATGCTCCAGGGGCTGGAGAATGGTAGCGAATGGTGCAGTCTACATTAACACTAATAGATGGCCGGTCAAGTCAGACTCCACCAGCCTGGAGAGCCTCCGTTCCCCTCTGCAGGTTATTTAGATCTGAATAACCTTAAATAAGGGCATCCAGCAATCTAGATACAGTTATTAATGATGATGGTTGTAATGATGGGACTTTGACACGCAAACTCATTTGACACGCCGAGCATCCTCACTTGGCACAGTAAGAAAGGAGATGAGGAGGGGGGGCAGAGAATGAGAAGGAGAGAAGGATTATTAATCTGATAGATGACTGTATGGCTGCAGGCAGAGAAGGGAATTATCAACACTACAGTAATAGATGAATACTGAACAGCTGCAGAGAGAGGGCCGGAGAAAGAGAGACAGAGGGGAAGAAAGAGATAGAGATGGAGACAGATGGAGGGAAGGTTGAGTGAAAGGGATGATGAGGGATAAAGACCTAGAGAGAGGTATAAATAGTGGGAAGAGCAGAAAAGAGATCAGTTGTAAAAAAAAAAATGATAAAAAAAAGTTGAAGAGGGAAAATAGGGAGGGAGAGAAGAAGAAGAAGAGACATTAATATTAATAATCTCTCACTCAGTAAGAGAGAGAGAGAGGAGAGAGAGAAGGGAGGGAGGCTCAATAGAGAGATGAATATAAAGCAGACAGAGATGGAGGGAGGGGAATGACAACACAGAGACGCATATAAAACACAACGATGGAGAGATGGAGGCAAGAAGACAATACAGAGGGATGAATATGAAACAGGTGGAGGGACAGAGCGGGGCTGCTCCTCCAGGGGAGGAGAGTCGGGCTGCGATTGGTGTGGCCAAGATTGATCAATAACGCACAAGTTCAATGACATTAAAAACACACACACAAGGACGCCGTGATGAATCATATCGGCGGCAGCATCTCTGGTCAGGGGGAGAAGCACGGCAACGCCAGGAACCGGTTCGTCATGTGCGCCCCGACGCCGTAAAGAGGCACTCAGTGGTATTTTTGGAGCAGCTTTCACCTTTTTATTTTAATTTCCAGCCACCTTTTTTTTTTTTTTTTTTTTTCCTTGCCAGCGAGATCTAAGTGCCAGAGCTATT